TACTATAAGTCTATAACAAAATAATAAGCAATTGGATATTATTCTTTTTTAATTTTACCTAACTAAAAAAAAAAAAAAAAATGAGAAATGGAAGTTGGTGCAAGTAGGTTTGAAACACATGTAAATAGAATAAGGATTCATCACTAAGAACCTAGTTGGTCGTCCATCCGGGAGCTAGCGACGCCGGTTGATGAGTTGACCTCAGAACARCCAAGTGACTTCGGCCAACCACCGTACCACACCARGCCCTAAATTTACTTTTTAAACATATAGAAACCATAACATAATCTACTTATATGAGATAAATAGTACTTGTAGGTATACGTCTATTTTTCATTAAGTTCAAGTATGTTTTATTTTTGTATATTAAGATAATAAATACCTATRTGATGATTTTATTTTTTTTTAAATTTCTAAGATCTTAAATTTAAACAGKAAACGATTAAAACTGGTATAGTTTCCAATACTACACAAAAATCAAATATATAAAAATGACTGTATTTCTCAAAGAAATCACCTATCATCAAATCTAATTTATTTCCAGTATTAGAGGTCTGAATTAATTTTATAAAACTAGTAATAGAAGTTGCTTTCAATTTCTTAACATAATTTATATAGTTTTTAACCACATTTAAATGTTGTCTTTCTTTTATCTGGACAAATTAATATAACAAATCTTTATTTTACATAATTTTATATCTACTATATGGCATGTATACCTATTGGGCTACTCTAGAATATTGTCATTTATTTAAGTTAAACAATGTGTTGAGTTTAATTTATTAGTTTCTAATATTTCTCAATTAGTATTATTTAGGTACTACAAAAAAAGTGTATTTAATGAAAAAAAGATTTATGGTCTGAGATTCGCTTTTTTAAGGATATAATATAATGTGGAGTAGTCATATATTATATATAGTATGGCATAACAATGAGATATGAGACACACCATGATGCAGTATATAGGTCATAGGTTTGATTCAATTTTATTGAATATATTTTAAGTTACGTATATGCATTTTCATAAATTAATAAAATTCACTTTAATAATTAATGAACTGTTGTACGAACTTTTTTGGGAGGACAACATAAGTTTTTTCGACACTTACCATTTACCAATATKCCTCGCTGTATCCCGGGKTACCCCCTCCCCTATAGCCCTCCACAATATTTTAACACACTGCTTTACTTGAATACTTAAAAAGTATCTTTTATAAGATTACATGTATAATGTAAACAATCAAGAGCTTTTTCAATTTGATAACACTTAGAGTTTAGGGGGAATTATTCTGAAAACTTTCTGATGTATTTTTTTTTTATTGATCGTTTACAACTTCGGCAACAAAGGCCATTAGTTATTTTAATTTTTTACATTACGTTTGCTTACATGTTTAGATTTGGTTATAAATATTGATTTGCTTTTCTGATGTTTATTATAAATAATAATATAATTTAAATCCTGTAACTATTTATAATTCAACAGTAACTAGTCATACCAGCATCAAAAAATAAAAAATAATAATAATGCRAAATTAATGACAATAATATTATATAATAGCTAYATAAGCTATAGTTAAATTGCAGTTTATAATATAAATATTTATTATTTTAGTTTACTTATTTTGTTTAATAGGACGCTTCACACATATTTGTTGTCTCCGTCTTACAASTGCGTAACATAGAAAATGTACGTTCAGCAGATCACGTTTAGCTCTGTTAGTTTAAAAGTTAGAGTGAATCGACTTAATATGAAACTTGATGTTAAGAAAATTATTTGTGTTTGTATGTGGTTTTTTTTTTACGATAGTTCAATTTTATAGCAAGTTATGCGTATTGCGTATATAAAAAGTGTGAATTAAAAATTCTCATAACTCATTTAAAAACTAAGTTATCGTAAAAATCTACACACAAACACAGATAATTTTCTTACCATCAAGATTCATAATGGGTCGATTCACTCTAATTTTTAAACTAACGGAGCTAAACGTGATCTGCTGAGTGTAAATTTTTATGTTACGCACTTCTAAGACGGAGACAACAAATATATTTGAAGCATCTTCTTAAGAGTTTGGCRAATTATTTTATTGGGAATTCTTTTTGAAGCCAATCTTRACCAATTTTTATTTTTTTTYCAACATCATACTMTGTTTCATCGGCGAGGAAATTTAAAACAACTAACAACATAATATTATAGTTAAAAAAACGAAAAACATTAATTTAGGTATAAGTATGTATAGTAGGTATTAATGGTATTATTATATATAGATTATTAGATTATTATCAATAAGCGATTATACCTATTATGGTAGAATACATCAGTACTTTTGTGTGCCACTGGACACTAATTTACGATATCTTGTGAGGATATAAGATTTAAATTATAGAATTTAAATCTTAAACGTATTTGTTTATCGTTATTGTTAAATTATATTATTCAATGTGATTGTCGTCAACACGAAAACGTCACGATCGGTTTAATAGTGGTGGTAACTATTTTTAGAGAAAAATATTGCCTTTCCTTGGAAATCGACATCGCGCTGATAACGATAAAAAAATACTAATAATAATAATAATAATACTTTTGGTAATTTGTATTTAATTTATTTTTTCATTATTTAATGTGATGTGATTTGTTTATAGCCTCATTCCCTCTGTAATATGATAAATGAATACAAAAAAGAGCCGGGCACATTCAAATATAAAACTCTGGATCCGCCTATGGCAACTACTACATCACAATGTGGCAATTCTATTTTTATACCTGTTTTCCTCAAAACGTCCGTAAGAACAAAAGGAGAAGAACCGCCAACTCCGATACCTAAAGAATTGTGTGTCAGATAAGAAGTGCAATATTTTGGAGCGTGTCGATTTTCAATATTAAAACAATTTTTATGGTCGAACTTCGATCAATAGACGATACCTACTAGTTGTTATGAATATTATGTAAATACAATTTTAATAATTCTTCATTTTAATCTGTTTGAAAAATATTAGATTAGTATTATTATATAATATGTAATTAACATATTAATACAATTAAAATGTACAAAATTATAATATTATTATGTTACGTTCCTCCCTACCGCGAACTTTACATGACCGAAWTGRGGAAATGATTATGGGTAATTTATAATATTGTCCTGTACCTATAATCACCAGTCCAACATAATAACTTTATTAATTATTA